ATTCTTATCATCTGTGTATAGACACCACTAACACTCGCACGCACAGCGGCACCCTCAAATGGAATCATAAACCCCGCTTGCCTCACGCACCCTTTCCCAATCCTCCCAATCCTACACTTCGACAACGCCTTCGACCCCCTCCCCCTCCCCCCTCGCCAGTGCACCGACGATTAGGATATGACACGTTAATCTCCGACACGCCTTTCCAATCCTTTCTCGCTCAACCCTTTCGCTCCTTGTTTTTGTTTTCTTCCATGACATTCGCAATTGCGTCGAGACTGGCAAACCCCCGAAGCCTGCACACTTACCCGTGACGACCCATTTCCAAGTAACTAACCTTCAACAAAGCCCTCCGAGTCGTCGCAGTCATCCAGGTCGTCGAGAGACCAGCACGACCACAGGGGAGCCGCCATCCCATCTTTCCTCCCTTCGGCAGGATGTCCTACTTGACACAAGTCGATTTAGAGACAAGGAATACTGTAGCCCAACCGCCAACTGAATGCGGGCGAACAACTACTCTCCCAGAAGTAACGATAAGATAGCGCTAGTCGCCCTATCAACCACTTATCACCTGTCTTTTGCCAGTGAAATACCATTACTAGGTTCTGCAAGGCCTAACTACTTTATTATTTCTATTTAAATTCTATATATCTGATTGATGGAAAATTTGGTCACTGAACAAATTTCTGGTCGTAATCCCTCATGACGCATTTCCTGTCATAATTATGTTCGGATCGAAGGGATTAGCGAGTGGCGTCATTATTGATAACATTCCCCGATAGGAGAGGCTTGGCACTTGGTAACTCGCTTGCGACACCTCGCGCGCTTGCCCTCAAGTGTCCTATGGTGTCATATGTCTTGCTTGCTTGTTTGCTTGCTTGCTTCGCACTGTAACTACTGCCGAAATTGGACAAAGCACAGCGGAACAAACAGCAAATGGCTCGACTTCCACTTCAGTAATAAGCAAACATTCTTTAGCAGTATGATAATTGGACTAACTGATCATACTATCAAAATTATTTAGGGGAGGTATAACAGCAAAATAAAAAAAGACAATACTAATAATCATAATAATAACGATAAAAAAAAATAACTATGGCATGACAGAGGTAACTGTTGATCGCTTTATCACAGCACTAAAATCCGCGAATAATCTCACAGTAGCTGTCGAAAATATTTAATGGTTATCCATGTTTACGAGCGGATTTCCCAAGCGCGGGTCATATGAAGAGGCGCATAAAGAGAGGGCGAGAGAAATGGGGAGTGTTAGTTTTCCCTCCAGCTGTCTGCCTCGCGCGCACCCGACAGCGTGAGGCCAAACATCGGGGGGTTGTCCTGGGGTATCTCCTGCAGCTGGAACCTCTGGATTATCACTACCGATCGCGTCCAAATCTCTGGCCAGGTGGTTCGGGAATTCGGCCCACCACCCACGAGCGTACCACCTGCATTCCTCGTCCGGTAGCCGAGTGGTTGGTATCTCTAGATGGATACAGCGATTACCAGACCTGACGGAGGCGCGCGGGATGGCTTAGACCCGGCCGCAGGGAGCCCGAGACACGACGGCGGCAGTTAAAAGACGGGGCGACGTCAAAAACATGAAAATATGGGCCGCAGAAACACAAACAGTTGCCCTCATCCCTGCCTACCCCTTGCCACCCGCCCGTACGGTCTCGTAGGCTTATCTCCGCCCTCCGCTCGACCAGCAAACTACCACCCAACGACCCTCGCTCTGCACCACAACTCGGCGGCTTTTTTACACAAACTTGTAAAATGACAACGAGATGTGAAGGCCAACGCGGCACCACCAAAAAGAAGTCTGTAGATGTATATGTAGCGTGAAGGAAAGGTTAAAGGCAGAATACACTGCATTTTCCTCGAAATTAGAAATTAGTGATATTCATCACAATTAAGCACTTTAAACCAAGTAAGGTCGATGCTTATTTGAAGTGCACAGATCACTGACCACCGTGTGGGCAGCATGGCAACACGTCTAGCAATAACGACGACATCAAGCATGGGCGAAATAAATGTCAGTCTGGCCGAGCTCTGATAATATATAATTGTCTTTTTTCGTCGTGCCACAGTCTGCAGCCAACATATTTGTGCGTCGTCATTGTTACTACATGCTGGCATCTCACGTATTTTCTTTTTTAAAAACACTCGCATACCACAATACGCGTCTAGACTATGTTCAGTCCTGTCTTTTTCAAGAGACTTACTGAGGCATATCACACGTCTTCCTAAAATCACAACACGAAGTAAGATGGTCAACAATCACAACTTTAACGTTCAATTCAATCCGTTTCGACGTTCAATAAACACGGCTTCATCGACACGTTCACCACACGTTCACGCACTTCAAAGGCGTCCTTCTGAGGCGAGGACAGGAGCGAGTACCCACCACGCAGCACCGCCGCCGCAACGCCACTCCCTGTATCTATGTGTCCTCCACCCGGCCAGATAACATGTGGCACTTGGCTGGGTCCCCACACAGCTGACACTTCCCCTCGCTCGTCCCCTCTTCACTCTCACCCCATTGGCGGCCGAGGGGAACATAGGGGAGGGAGGGGGGGGGGCACTTACACTGCATCCGCCCAAATTAAAAGAGGACGAGGACGAGGCACTGATTCTCAAAGGGTTCTTATCGTTTGTCTTAAAATACGATTTGGCGATTTCCCGCGGGGGCTTCCGTATCAGTAGCCACGTCCATTTTTTTCCCTCCATCTTCCCGGCCTTATCTTATCTCTTCTTATCTCTCCAGATACTCGGGAAGCAACTTTGCAACATGGGTTAATCTTTACATGTGTACTTCCAAGGGCACGTCATCTCAGCGAGGGAAAAAACTCATCTGGCAGACAACCATGCGCTTCGGAATGTCGATGATTCAACAGGGACACATGGACAAACACCGCCGTGAGAAATTCCTTGCAAAAAGAAAAAAAAAACTTTTTGCAACATACGCAAATCTTATCTATGATTCAAAGAGTTAAACTTATCGTAAATGGGTCTATACGATGTGCGGCGGAGAGGGAAGGGAGAGGGAAAGAGAGAGAGGACGAGACGAAGAGAATGAGAGAGAGGCAGATGATGTAGATTGGAGAGATGACGAGCGAGGGATCAGATGGAGAGAACGGGACCTTTTGTGCGAGGAGGTTCTGAGAAGCGGTGAATACGACGGCTTGGGTGAAGTGCGGTGGACCTGGCCACTTGGGGACGTCTCTGAGGAGTTCATCACACCACGGACCCGGTAGAATGGAGAGAGAGCGCCCTGAGGAGGGAGAGAGTTAAGAGATGTGAGTCAACGAGGAGCGAGACGAAGAGAGAGGAGGAAGGAGGGAGGAGAGGGAGGGAGGGAGGAGGAGGAGGGAGGTGAGGGAGGTCGAGGAAGGGAGGGAACGGGAAGGGAAGGGGAAGGGAGGAAGGGAAGGGAAGGGAAGGGAGGGAAGGAGAGGAGGAGAGAGAGAGGAGACAGAGACGCGAGAAGCAAGGAAGACAGATAGTGGGAGGGAGATGGAGAGAGGAGACGACGAGATGAGAACGAGAGTGAGGTGAGAGACGGATGTGGAGAGAGACTAGGAGAGAGAGAGAGAGAGAGGAGATCGAGCCATGGACGTATGGACGAGAGAGAGAGGAGAGTAAGGAGGGGAGAGAGGAGGAGAGGGAGGGGAGGGGGAGGGGACGGAGGGAGGGAGGGAAGGGGAGGGGAGGAGAGAAGGAAGGAGGAGGAAAGATGAGAGAAGATGAAGGGACGAATGAAGAGGAGACAGCGGAGAGAGAAGAGAGGAAAAGATGGAGATGAGACGAAGGATGAGAAGTTCGAGAACGAGAAAGGAGAAGAGAGCGAGAAGATAGAGAGAGCAAGGAGGGAAGAGAGAGACAGAGGGAAGAGAGGGAAGAGAGGGGGTTGGAGAGAAGGGAAGAAGGAGGGAGGAGGAGAGAGGAGTAAGGAGGAGAGAGGAGAGAAGGATGGGGAGGGAAAGGGAGGAGAGGGAGAAGGAGGAGAGAGGGAGAGAGAGGAGAGAGGAGAAGGAGGGGATTGAGGAGAAAGCGAAAGGAGGGATTTGAGAGGGAGTCGAGGAAGATGGGAGAGAGGGAGAAGGAGGGAGAGAGGGAGAAGGAGGAGAGAGAGAAGGAGGAGATAGAAGGGAGAAGGAGGTGAGAGAGGAGAAGGGACGGGGATGGGTGAGAGCGGGTGGGAGGAGGGACTGTGCACCGGGCGGGAGAACATTGAGGGGAGAGTGAGGTGCTGCGACGACGAAGATAGGAAGACGGAGAAGGAGGAGAAAGGAAAGAGGGAGAAGGAGGGACAAGGACGGCTAGGAGGACGAGGGGCGAAAGGAGGCGAGGAGAGGTGCTGAAGGGAGGGAGGAGGAGGGAAGGGGGAAGTGATAGGAGGGAGAGAGATGGAAAAGGAGGGAAAGAGGAGAAGGAGGGGAGAGAGGGAGAATGGAGCAAGAGAGGAACCGAGAGGGTGAGTTAGAGGTGAGGGAGACGAGATGGCAGGAGGATGGGAGAGGGAGTGGGAGAGCGGATGGGAGGGAGGGCAGGGAGGAGGGAAGTGTAGAGAGGAAGCGAGAGAGTGAGAAGAGGAGGGAAGGGAGGGAGGTGAGAGGGTCAGGGGTGGGAGGGAGGAGAGCAGAGAGAGAAGAGAAGAGGAGAGGAGAGAGAGAAGGACGACGGAGGACGAGAGAGGAGAGACATGACAGGAGATGAGGAGGCATGAGAAGGAGAGGAGATGACGAGCGAGGGACAGAGAGGAGGAGAGAGAGAGAGAGGAGGGAGAGAGAGAGTTGAGGAAGAGGAAGAGAGGGAAGAGAGGAGAGATGGAGAGAGAGAGAGAGAGAGAAGAGAAAGAGAGATGTACAGAGAGGAGACAGAGAGAGAGAGAAGAGAGGAGGAGAGAGGAAGAGGAGAGACGGAGGGGAGAGAGAGAGAGAGGCAGGAAGATACGCGGGGGGGCAGGAAGAGCAGCTGTGTCCGATCCATACATCACGGCCCATCAGCCCTCATGATATGCTCCAGCCAGCCCGACCACTTGCCCACTGTCATGGCAGGAAGGCACAGTTACGACCCATAACAACTGCCTACGCGCATTCTCATGCAATAGAGCTGCATGAAAAAATCATTAAATGCAACTCATTCCGGCGGCTCAGGGTTCCCACGCCGAGCGCTCTGCCGCGGGGCAAGAGTCCTCGGCGCTAGCGTCCGTGGCAGGCGGATCAAGTTCGAGGCCTCGTGTCTCTTGACGGCGAGGCACCTCCAAGCACCGATGCCGGCCACGCAAGGCGCCCGAAGGATAAGCGAGATCCTATACAGAATTGCCGTCTCGGACACTCTTCCGACTGGCGAGGCGAGGACAGCGGGGAAGTCGTTGTGGCTGTCGCGTAAGTGGGGCGCTGAGGCTAACTGCGCCGGAAATAGGGACAGCCTGACTAACGCCGTCAAAAAAGAGAATGAAAGATGTCACCGTTTTGTTTATCTGTCTAGTCGGTTAGGCTTGGGGGACACGTGGCGGGCGGAGGAGGAAGTGAGAGGCAATTTTTACTGCTAATATAAATAGGGCCATTTTTCTCGTGCCTCTGTGTACTTGTATGGGTAAGGCACGCACAAGCACATGAAGCCGTGCTGGCAGCGCACACCCCAGACTAACGCCTTTTCGAGCCCCAAGTTTGGACATATGTGATATATGTAGGCATGAGCCACCCGGTACATGTGGTAGACATATTTTCTGATCGCATTCTACGGCAATAACGGAGCATTCTAAAAGGGGCAGACTAGACGAAGGTGAATCTCCAGCTATCACAGAGGACTAATGGACACCTCGGGCATGTTTAGTCTGATAAGGAGTCGCAGCGTGTGGCGCTGCTACTGTTTGTCTCGCGTCTAAACAAGCCACCGAAATAATCTCGGAGGTGCTGCGGCGAAGCCGCGCGAAGGAGAGGACGGGACCCTGACGCTGGCCAGCCCTTCCGCTCTCGACGCACACAAAGGCGGCGATAATGCGCGGCCAACACGGAGCAGCCTTCCCTTGCTGGAGGTTTCGAGAGAGTCGTGTTTCATATCAGTAAACGAGGATGCACACAGGGTACACCTCTGTCCGCGGTGTTGAGTTACCGCCGTCACGTGACTTTCGCGGCCGCAACGAGTTGGGACGCGGTCGAGCGCCTCACGCCACGGAGGCATCGGACCTGCCACCTTGTGGTGTGCTTGCCCCGGCGTGGGTGACTGCGCGCTCTTAAGGCACTTGCTGTGGAGTCACGAAGCAGATAGAGTTACTTTGCATTCTAACATACAGACACACAAGCATGCATGTATAAACACACACGCGCGCATGCACGCACACATATTTATTCATTCATCTATATACATCTATACATACATACATATACATAGACGCACATACACATACCCATATACACAATTTCACTTCCTTTACCCTAGGCGACATTACAAAAACTACCTCTGTTTCAAAATAAATATCCTTCTCACATTTTCTTTCTCCGATCTTATCACTGCGGTAACCAGAGACAGGCCTACGCGAACCTTGTCGTTAACTCAGCGGAAGGTTTTCCCTCCCCCTCTCCCCCTCCCCTTTATTACGACCCCTCCAACAAGAACGCGGCTGAGGTAGAGTTACGTAAGGGATTCTTTTTATCTTCTGAACTTCATTTAGATCTAACAAACAACACTACAATTGTTGCAGATTTCGAAAACCAGATGACTGAGCGCTTCCTGTCTGAATTCTGAGAAGAATCAACACTGCTCATTTGTTCTCGAGACCGTGATCGAATGCTACATACGCTGGAACTTCAGAACAGTTACACATTCTTCAGGATCTGTGTGTGTGTGTGTGGTGTGTGTGTGTGTGTGTGTGTGTGTGTGTGTGTGTGTGTGTGTGTGTGTGTGTGTGTGTGTGTGCAGTGAGTGAGTGTGAGTGAGTGAGTGAGTGAGTGAGTGAGAGAGAGAGAGAGAGAGAGAGAGAGAGAGAGAGAGAGAAGAGAAGAGAGAGAGGAGAGAGAGAGAGAGAGAGAGAGAGAAAGAGCACAATAAGAAATAGCCAAGTGTCGTCCAAGGCGACGACGGAGACTCTCAGGCGCGCCCGAGGGTCTCACGGGAGCGCGTGTGGCCGCCCTCGCTTCCGGGGCTCCCCCGGTGACCCCTGGCCGGAAGAGCGGACCCGTAGGCCTACGCGAAGGAGCGGGCCCACTCGACTGACCACAGGCGAAGGAGGACCATTATTTCCTTCCTTCCCTTCAGGTAACGTCTTTGTGAGTCCGGAGACCTGTTGTTCTTTGGGGATTCGGCCGAGGCGGAGCCTTTTGTTGGCTCGTAATAAGTGGGAGGGAGGAGGGAAAGTGGGAGGGAGAAGGGGGAGAAGAAGAGAAGTGAGGGAGGTGAGAGAGAGAGAGGGAGAAGAGAGGGTGAGAGGAAGAGGAAAGGGAAGAAAGAGGGAGAGAGAGGAGA